CGGCCCGTCGGAAATTCTTTCGTCGGTGCGATTGAACCCCGAGACGTCCGGTGGGTAGGAAAACATCAAGGATCATTCGGGTTATCGTGATGCGCTCGATCCTGATTCGATCTTCAAGGTCGGATGTCGCGGCTTCTAGAAGCGGCACCGTACAAAGTGGTCCTCTTTGCCCATTCGCCCGTGTGTTTTCTCCTTCTCACTCCCTTCTTCCTTCTCTCTTTCTCCCTCCCTCTTCCCCCCCCCCCCTCTCTCTCTCTCTCTCTCTCTCTCTCTCTCTCCGTCCTGTCTCTCTTTCTCTATCGCTCTTTCTTTCTGGGAATCTCGTTCGAGAGAGGAGATCAGCGCCCGGAGCAGCGTCTACCGTTACCACGTGTGTCTCGTTATGCCGCGATTCCACGCGCAAATACGACGAGAGCGACTTTCAGCAAACTCCGACCCTGCGCAACAGCACGTAACCCTTTGCCGTGGCCTAATTTCCCTAATTTCTCTGCATCTACCGATGTTTTAGCCCTTAACCGGACCTAGCAGGCTTTCGACGACCCTGTCGGAGTGTCTCGGCGGTCGAATAACTCTTATCGTTCGGAGTGCTACTTTCTTCAGATGTCACACTACTCGCTGACTCGTGTTCTATTGTACGTTGCGAAAAAAAGTATGCCAAATATTAGCCCGTTGACGTATTCCGTCCACCTCCGGCGTAGATCCTCCTCGGTTCGCTAGAAATCCGGTAATGCGCTGGTTACTCCCAGTTGCGCAGTTTGATCTCAGGCGCTTTCTGAGAACCACTGGATCAGACGGGGATAGCACTCGAGAGTTAAGAACGCATAAGGCGCCAACTATCGACGGAAATGATTCGCTAATGAGTCTCGTGAGCGAGCCGAATCATTCGCACCTGACGCGGGTGAAAGTATCATTGTCGATCGCGCGAGCTCGCAAGACGCCGATGACGTTCGCGCGCTCGGCGATCTTGGCTATCCCGGGCGCGTAATCTGCGATCTCAAACCGTTTCATCGACGATCAAATCAATGAGCACAGACACGTCCGCGACGCGCTCGCAAATTTTCTCCGTCTCCCTCCCTTCCTTTCTCTCTCTCTCTCTCTCTCTCTCTCTCTCTCTCTCTCTCTCTCTCTCTCTCTCTCTCTCTCTCTCTCTCTCTCTCTGTCTGTCTGTCTGTCTCTTTCTCTTTCTCTTTCTTTCCCTTCTCAATCTTTCCTTTCGTCGCGCGCGTTTCCCCGGCTCGCCTCGGCCTCTTAAGTAGGTGTACGCAAACGTACGCGTGCGACAGCCGGGCCGCACGGCCGTGATGGCCGTGGCGAGTCTCGTAAATTGCGCCGACGGATAAATTCAGCTGGAATTTTCGCAAGCTGAAATTTATACGCGGTGAAACGCGCCGCCGCCGGGAGATCGGCTCTCCCGCGGAGAGAACGCCTCCTGATTTCGAAACGACACCGCGTGCGCGCGCGGTGTCCGCGAATCGCGGAACGATAATTTAGCCGGCAGCTCCTCGCCTTGGCTACCCGGTGATTTCGGGACACCGCGTGAGTGTGCGCGACGCACGACGTTGCGCGCGGATACACGCCGGAGTCGCGCGAGGTGAGGTCGTTTTTGCCCGGTCAGTTTTTGCGGTGCATAGCCCGCGGTCGTTATTACCGCGCGATTAATGCTAAGCGATTTATGTCGCACGCGCGATTCGCCACGGACGAATTTATAATTCGCGCTCGGTGTTTCTCGGCGAGACGAGGGACCGCCGCCGTGCGAGCGGCGGCTACGTCGAGGGGAAAAGAACCGGCTTCCTCGCATGGTGGATCGTCATCGTCCCCATCGTGCGCTCCACGTGGCAACGCGCGCGCGCGCGATCCAGCCAGTTCATGACGACTGCAGGACTGCAGCTCTGCGCAGTCTGCGCAGGATATCCTACTTTCCCCGTTGCGAGTGCATTACTCCTAGATTACGACTCGCAGACATGCCTCGTGGTCCCCACGAGGCTAAAGATAGCAGCTTATTAACCCATTAGTATGCGCGCCTTCGAACGGATGCCATGCTGCTACTACACGTGTGAGGCCGCCGTCTTATCCGCCGTGTCTCCGCGCGCGGTACTTGACGCGCGGAATATCTAAACTGTCGCTCTATATGTATGACGCCGCTATAGCGTAGCGCCGTTCAGGCTAATACCGTATACTTCCTTTTGAGCCGGCTCTTTCAGCGACTCGTACAAGAGTACGAGATCTTTCGCTCGTTTCCCGTCCGCTCAAAGCCGCGAGTCCTCTCGCTGTGTGCGAATGTGTAATTTTCGCGGTTAGCGACAGTGAGCCAACAGCCGCCGCGCCGGTCGGCAGCCGCTTCTCAAGGACTTTCTCGACGTGATCGTTAGCAGGCACGATCGAATTCGAGCGTCGATCGATGAACGCCGCAGACCCGTCTAGACCCTGGGAGCTGTCCTCGATCTCGTACGAGACTCTCCGCCTCTTTGCGGAGGCACGTCGGCCGCTCGCGCCCCGGCTTGCTGCAAGATGGTTGACGGGCTGTTTACTTAGAAACTCTGCGCCGAAACTCGCGACGAAAGCGGGGAACGAAACTACGAGGAACTCTGTTGAGTTCCTCGTAGTTTCGTTCCCCGCGCGCGCGAGCAAGTTCGAATCCTCGCGACGTTTCGTTGTCGCTTGAAAACTTGTCTCGTTTTCAGCCGAGACATTTATATCGCTCGGTCGGAAATGTGTGACTTTGATATTACGCGACGGACCGACGATTGATCTCGCGGTGAGATCATCCGTCGAGTCGCACTTTAATCGGATTTCCTTTCACGATAACTTCGGGCCTCGGCTCGCCGCCTTTCGTTCGGAATTCTCTCTGGGGCGTCGAGATCGATCCGCGCGAGAAACGGGATTCGCGCGCGCGCGGCGGCTGCTGTACGCATTCGCACTTTCGCGGTCGTGGGAACGCAGCTTTGACGCAGGTTCCCCGATCGGTCGATTGGGGCAGGTCACGATCCGTCCAAATTATTCCTCGCGATCTCTCCTCTCTCTCTCTCTCTCTCTCTCTCTCTCTCTCTCTCTCTCTCTCTCTCTTCCTTCCCCCTTTTTCTCTCGGGTGGCGAACAGCCACTGAAGAGATCAGTTAACAACGGTATTTACGACTCACTTTACGCACAAGACACATCGAGAGAGAGAGAGAGAGAGTCTCCCCCGGTGTCGTAAGAGAGACACATCGGTCCTCGCTCGCGCATTACACGACGTCGCGAATGGCCGGGCAAAGTTGGCCGCTAGTCGGGAAATGCAGTCACGTCGAGTTATACTGCGGCGCGATCCCCGCCCGGTTTTATGTTTTGTCACAAGGTATCGTCGACCGTGTTATTCGCTGTGTGACCGCTCTTGTCACACCACTCGTATCTCGCACACGACGCTCTTCGCGTGCGTTGACGGAACTATCCGCGTTGTTCGTCGCGCCGATCCGCATGAATCCCGTCCTTTTTTTCCGCGGAGCGAACGTCGGGTAACTTGAAGGGAAGGTATGCTCGGCGAGGCGAAAAAAGAAGCATCGTACGTATTAAATAATACAGGCGCGGCTTTGCTGCGCACGGAAAACATTTCATAATGCACTTCCACGTAAACGCCGACAGCATTGGCAACGAAAAAGAGAGAAAAACGGGGCGGAGGGGAGAGAGGTTGCAAAAAGGAGCAGGGACTTGGCAACGCTGACAGTGCTCTTTGGCACACGAGCTCGGCACACGGCTTACGGTGAGAGTGATGCGCGCAGGAAGCTCGAGAGGATTTGGATGTAAATGTGTCGGATATATTCATTTGGACGCGCGTCTCGCGCTCTTTACGCCGCGCGGCAGAGCGGGAGAGTCGCGCGATAAAAGGACGACGGAGAGAGCGCGGGGAGAGACGGAGCCTTCGCTTCCGACAGATGGATTGTCGATAAAGATGACAATCGCGGCACGCGCGTGTTCGCGCTGATTTCAATTACGATTCCCCTCGGCGCTCGATATTAATTCTCATGTTGCGCATATCAGCGTGCGAGATATCAGCCGGCGCTCGGTTGTTATTCCAAGAGGAGTCGATCTTTCGTCCCGCGTTATTACTGCGTCTAACCGCAGCAGTGCAATATCCGCGGATTTTATTCCGACATTTATCGGCCGGACATTGCGCTCCGCATGCGCGTATTTACACGATCGCAATTATTATCGAGCGTCACCCCGCGTCGCGCATCGATCGCGATGCGGTCAACTGCGCACAGTGGACGGCCGGTTAGGTCGAATTAATTACGTTTCCGCGATCGCGGCCGCGCGCCGCAGCTTTCCGACGACGACGAGCTCGGAACGGTGCTCGGTGATGGTTTGCGCGGCCGCGATCGTGTTTGCTTCGTTTCGCCTCGATAAGCAAAAAACTCACCGATGAATAACGACACGCGCTTTTTAACGTCGAATGCGTAAGATTTATTTGTCCCTCGGAATAAAAGTGTCACGGTTCTCTCCGCGGCATAAAAACGCTCCATAAATCGACTTCCGCGATCTGTTCGTCGACGTGTATTAAATTCGCCGGTCGGCTGGCAGCGCCATCGGGATCGATTCACGGAGAGCCGATGTAGCACGTCGTATCGTAAATACGCTCCGCGGTATTCCCACACGGTTAATTTATTAGGAATAGGGATCGCGCCGAAACACACACGAAAAAGAAGAAGAGGGAGAAAAAAAGGAACAAGAAAGAAAACGCGTAATCAGTATCGACGATGAGACGTCTCGCGACGTCTCTCCGATTTCTTTCGCGTTCTTCCTCTATCGGGGATAATTTCCGCCATTACGTTGATCGGCGAGCGAAGCGGAGAACGAGGGGAGCGGGGGGAGGGGGGAATCGACATTCAAATCTCTGTTGCCGAAATTGCACGTTCGACGAGTCAGAAAGCTGCCGCGATATGATTACGCCCTTCCCTCTCAACTCTCCTCCCTCTCCCCCCTCCCCCCCGGCAACGATGGCCGATTCAATTCGCTTTTTCGCTGTTTCAGACGATGCCGAATAGATCGACCGGGCTGTCCAGGTGGCTGCTGCTGGCGGGACTTTTGTGCTGCTCGTCTTGCCAGAGCGTGCCGTCGTTCTTTGAGAATAAAACCGGTAAGCCTCTCCATCCATCCACTCACCCACCCAGCCGACCATCCACCGTCCCGTGTGCCGCTCTGCACACACGTGACGTAATCGCTAGATGTGTCCCGCGGAATATTTCCCAGCGAGTGAATTAGGGCTCGAGGAGGCCGAGGGACCGCACGTGTCTAATGTGGCGGCGTCGCCCGTCTTTCACGTCATTACTTTTGCAGACTTTCGTGAAAAATTCAGTCGCGCGAGAACTCGAGTCCTCGATAAAAGATTTACCGTCTCGTTTCGGCTAGATGGCAGCGCGAGGTAGCAAGTCACGAGGAGACGCGCAGTCACGTCGCCGCTACCCCTCCACGTGGTCTTTTAATAAAAGAAAAATCGAGTTTTTGACATTCGAATTCGAACTAGGAATATCGCGCGTATAATAAAGGAGAAATTGAAAAACGAAAGTATCGGAGATTAAAAGAGACGGAGATCTTTCGGAAGTTCCTTTCGAAAGAGTGGCCGAGAGACACGTTCCGAAGAAAATAACGAGCGCGCTGGTCAAGGTACCATTAATTTACGTCGATGTGCGCACTATGAGGTATACGTGAAGTTCACTTCAACAACTTCTTCTCGTCCAAATGACCCTCAAGAATTATTTGCGATTTTTCTGCGGAACGCAGTCGACCGTATTCACTTCTTCCCGGCGGCCTCGCTATTTTTTGCGCGGTACAAGCGTATCTATCGGATCGCGTCCGAATTCACACGACGTGTGTGAGCACGGTGCAAGAGCCGGCGAGAGCTCTGGCTCTGCGGGTACTTCGATCGTCGTATTGCGGGCAAGGAAGCTGCGGGTAAAAGATCCGGACTGGCACGTCTCGAAGAGCACGACTTTGCGTCGCGACGAGACGCGACGCGACGCTGCGTCCGACGTCCCGCTGAGAATTCGATTTCCCACTTTTCCAAGTGGAAATTGGAAGCTAGGTGGCGACTTGGCGCGAGCCAAGTTAATTGAAGACACATTATCGTGTCCGGGTCAGTTGGTCGCGCGCGCGCCTCTGCCGAAAAAGAAACGTCGATCGATCGATTTGTCGGGGAACGTCCGGCGATCCACCCGTAAAAAGCTCCTCGACTCTTGAGCGTCATTAATGCTCTCGATTCTTCGGCATCCGACGGCGACAGTGACCACTCCCACCCCGTCCTCCTCCGTTTCCGACGCATTGCGGTAGGATCACGTCCGACAAAGTCGGCGAACGTAAGATCAAACTGTCGTCGGAATTTCATCCAACTTGTCGGGCTGTGTGCGCCTCCGAGAGAGACCCACCGGTCCCGTCGATTTATTTATTGTTTCGCCCATTTGCCCGTACGAGACATTTATCTCCACATGGATATGGGAGAAAGTCAATATGTGTAATGGGAGGCAGAAGGAGGCGGAGAGAGAGAGAGAGAGAGAGAGAGAGAGAGAGAGAGAGAGAGAGAGAGAGAGAGAGGGAGAGAGAGAGAGAGAGAGAGAGATGGAGAGACGTCCCTGTGTGTGTGTGTGTGTGTGTGTATGTGTGTGTTGTGCCGCGCCGCACCGCGGTGAGATCTCATTTGATAGGCAAACGAGACGCGCGTATCGACTCGATCGCAACCGTCGACTGTCGTTTCCAAATTAGCTGTCGAATGGCACTAATAATCTCGGTGTCAACCTTGATCAAAATTAGTCGCGCGTCACGCGCGTGCACATGTGCACGCGTCTTTCATGCGTGCGTATCAGTGGGGCGGGTCAGTGGGTCACTCTACTCACTGCTAAAAGACACTCGCGCGCCGATGATACGCGTGCACTCACGCATGTAAGCGCGCCGGGACGTGCGTTCGATTAATTCGCAAGCGCTCTCGCCGCTCGCAAGCGGCACGACGAGATCGGGCCTCTCCGCCTGAAAACGCGATTCATTCACCTTCACGAGTACAAGGTGGAACATTTCCAGACGAATAAAAACGTGCTCTTTTAACAGCATTACGTAAGCGGGCTAGCAAGTTCCGTAAGTTGCATAATGCAACAAGTCCAATTAGAGAGTCGGGCGAAACGCGATTAACGTGGTAAATCTACGTGGCGATAAAAGTCTTTGCCGGTATACGTAAACAACTTTTTACGCAACAACAAGCGTTGCGCAAGTAAACTTGAAACATTATTTTACGGACAAGTTCTTCTCTAAACATCGTCCTGGCTCGTTTGTATAATTAATTCTAAAAGTTCGCATTCTCGTGATTTTATATTTCTGCAGACTTACTCTTTTGAAAATGTAGAAATCCTTCACAGAAATCCTCTACACACACACACACACACACACACACACACACACAGGTCTCTATATTCTCTCCACTTTACGCAGATACGTTTGATGTTTGATGTGATTTCGAAATTTCGCCTCCAAAGTGCAAGTACCAGAATATTTGAGTATCAAATTTAGGGATCGATCGCTCGTGCGAGGGCGTGGTTAGCTAGGATAATCGAATTACCGCGCGGACCATCGCGAGGCTCGCCGAGAGAAAGAGAGCGAGAGAGGGAGAGAGAGCGAGAGAGAGAGAGAGAGAGAGAGAGCGAGAGAGAAGTACGTCGTCCACATAAATAACATAAATTACAATTTTTAATTCGCGACACGTCGGAAGAACGCGCGTCGGGAAGCGACGGCAGCGTCCTAGCGGATTTCTCGCCTCGCCTCGTCTCGTCTCGCGTCCCGCCCCGTCCCGCGCCTCGCCGAGCGTTGTTCTACTTTCAAACGACGCCTGACACAAAAGTGCGAGAAAATAAGCGCGCCGCGCTTTTATCGCGCGCGCTCACAATGGCCAACTTTGCATTTAACGTTCCCCCTTAACCTTTGCATTCCCCCGTCGTCGTCGCCGTCGTCGTCGAATGCGGCTGCGAACGGCTGTGCCCCCGCCGTGTTCCCTCTGTTTCGCGCATCGCGCTCGTTGACCCGCGGCAAAATCCGCGAGGAACATGATTAATCCTCCCGACTGCGCTTTTTCCAGCCTCACCTGGACAAATGCGGCGCCCATTGTTCGGCGCCCGAGTTCGCTTCCGTATAATTGACGCCCGGTCGTTTCTCTCTCGTGCAGCTCGCGCAAGACTTCCCACGAAATCCGGGAATTTCTTCCGGGCTGCCGAGATATTGGGGAGAAAATCTCGGAACAGAGAGAAGAGACGGGAGAGCGCGGAAGGCAGCGGCCGCGCTTGCGCGCTCAGCCGTGCACGATCAGCCAACCGAGACGGAAAATTCACATGCGCCCCGGCACGCTAATTGTGAGCTTTCAAAAGTAAAATACTCGATAACCGCGCGTAAAGGTTGTCGCTCATGTGTGATTTGCCTCATTCAGCTTCGATAAAGGGCTGAGAGCCGCGCGCGTCCGCCGCCACCGCTCATCAATATAAATACAGCGAAAAATCATCATGTTTGCGGATTTTCCGCGTATACAGCGCGCTCGTGTTCCTCGCAATTTCTGCTAAAAGTCCCGGCCATTATGTCGCGTAATATCGCTCGCGCGTGTGCGCACGCGCGCGTGTATTCGATAAGCGAGCCCGATAATATATATATATATATCACTCGGCGCGCAATTGCGGCGAGCGTAGAATAGCGTTGTCGATTCTAATAGGCTGCAACATATGGCACGCTTCTCTCTGCGGCCGCGGCGGCGGCGGGGGAATTAAAAGGGAGAAGATACGACCACGCGCGCGTACATTTTGTACGCTCGATTTCATTCGGCATTGTACCACTTCCCAGCGAAACAAGCGGCACGACCGCGAGAATATGTGTCGCATAAGCGTAATACGAACAAACGAGCGGGAAAATAATCCCACGCGCAGCCGCGACATAAATGCACGCACACAGGCGAAAGTATAATAACGCTTTTGGTGGCTTTATGCATTCGTGCCGCAGCTCTCTCGTTATGCTCGCTTCTCACGCTTTGTTCGAAGTGCCGGGAGAGATTTTGCCACTCTTCTCTTTTTCTCTTTATCTCTCTCTCTCTCTCTCTCTCTCTCTCTCTCTCTCTCTCTCCCTCTCTCCCTCCTTTTCTTTCTCACGCTGCGCTTAGACGTCGGGAGATTTTACGCAATTACGTGCGGAGACAACGGGCTGGCGAGCAATCGCGCGGCTTAGATCGGTGAATTTCCAGCGAGCGAATCTCCGATCGTTCACGCAAAAGTGCCGTGTAAATGCCCGAGCGCGTGTGTGATATCGCGCGAATGAAACGCGCGGCAAACAACGCGGGCAACACGTCGGGCGATGCGATATTAATGTAGAGCTTGTAACGTATCCGATAATTAAATTCGAATGGTTTTATGTAAATCATCGAGCGAAATTGATGCTCGTCCCGCGCGCTCGGCACACGCGTGCACGTCTCTCTCTCTCTCTCTCTCTCTCTCTCTCTCTCTCTCTCGTGAAATTTTAAATTTCGCTCTCCTGGCCCACGTTTATATCACCGCGCTCGCGCTCGGTTTGTTACATTCGCGCGTTACCTCATCTCCCGCTTTGCATCTCGCCGCCTTTCGGCGCCTTCTTCCTCGCGCACTCGCGCAATGATCATTTGCATAATAAGAGGAAACAGCAACCCCGTAACAATCGCCGACATTTTATCTCACCGGGCTCGCTCTCGCCCAGCTGTCGCATTCACGCCCGCGAACCGAAGTCGGTGGCGGATGTAGCGCGAGCGCGCGCGTCACTTCATTTTCCAACAATGACGCGTGAGCCCGGCGCATAAAAGTCCACGGCAGAGAATAACTCGCGTCGCTTTTAGCTCTCTCGCGCTTACATGTGCATTCTCGCATTGCTGAACTTTTCTTTTAGTTCACCCCTCGACCGCCCCGCTGCCCCGCTGCCCCGCCCTTGTGCCCGTCATCTGTATTCTTCGGAGTGCTCTCGCCGAAGCGACGTGACGCCGAGAAGAGCCGCTTTTCCGCGATTGTCGCGGAAATTTTAGGACACGCGACTACGCGCGCGTGCTCTCCCGCTGATTAAAGGGAACGCGAGATTTCGCGCGCGCGCGTGCGGGCGATATGCAGGCAGAAACAGGGACGATCGCAGCGGAAATACGGGCCGGTGGGGATGTCCATTTTCTATGATTCACTGCGCGATGTGCCGATGCGTATTTTTCGGCGGGCAATGCGAGCCGCGACTATAAATCTCGGAAGATAGCCCGGCTGCGCGAGTCCATTACCGCGGCACGACCGGCAACGCTCTTAACCTTAATGAATCTTTGCTCGCTTGTCGACTGGCGGTGCATTTCTCTAGAAAATAGCCTACCGCGCCGCGCTTAAGACCCGCCGAGCCTCGAGGTGGTCTCTCGCTTTTCACAGCGCCATGTCGGACATGTGAAACTCGAAGAAATTGCCGCGGGGGCTGACAGAGTACGAATGCTTTCGCGTGAATTTTAGATACCTGTCGTTTGCTCGTATTACGCAATTCCGTGGCTATTCCGGGACAGTGACGATCACACATCGCTCGATAAATTCGAGTCGAGAGTCATACAACTGCGATTCCTCAATATTGATAAAGATATTACTTTTGCTAAACTAATTACGATTTATAAATTTCCAACATCTATCGCTTAAGTTTCCATCACGCGCAGTCTGTGGATATTCTGGGATATTAAGAGTCACGCGACGGTTAGGTCAGGTATATTTATCGACAAGTTATTCATCAATTATTTAAAAAACAACAATGTATCGGAGCTGCTGCCACCGCCACGCAAAAGAGGGAGCGCAAAAGAGTCGCTCGCACACAGGGGCAAACCCTAGAGACGACCCTACGACTCGGCGAAACAGAATTCGACCGAGCAAGGCTACGATAATTTGGCGTCACGCATCCGCCGTAACGGCGACAAGACGAAGAATCAGCGGAGGAAGAATCGAGAGACTCTCGCGCGTCTAGTTTACGCTTTCCGGCGGAGATCCGATCGAAAATCCTCGCCCGTAATATAGCCCGAGAAATTACTTAGGCCGTCACCTGTCCCCCGTTTGAAATATGCCCGCGCAAAACTGCGGAGGTCGCAGATATCCGACTGTGCATTATGCAGGCCGGTAATACGAGAGAGTGAGAGAAAGACGGAGGAGGAGGGCGTGCACGAGGCGGAAGAGATCTGACCATGCCGTGTCGCGCGCGCGTATATTCGCCGAGGCGTGACACGTGTATTTATGCGACATGACTCGGCCGCCGGCGGCTGCAGGCTGCCGTCGCTACCGCGCGGAACATTCAGACATCGTCGGCATCGTCGTCGTCGTCGTCCCGACGACGCAACGCTCGTCGTTCGTACGTCGTAATGAGGCACCGGACGCCGCGGCGAAATAACACAGCGCGGTGATACTCCTCCGACTCCCCCGACGAGGCGCGAGGTTGTGATTAACGGTGACGACGTTGTTGATCGTCGTCCCGCGCGCTCCCTTCGTCCTTGTCATCGTTGTCATCATCATCATTCCGAGATTGGATAACGTCGCACGGGGGTCGAAGTAGTTTCCGTAGGACATTACACTTCGTGGCTCGAGCGAGCATACCGCGTATCATACGGAGCGAAGCGTTCGGCGCTCCAGCGCGAATTTTGTCAAACATTAATGTGGATTCATCAAGCGGTGATCTCTGAATCATTCGTTATTTGTTCGCTTATGTATATTTTGAAAATCCCGCCACTCCTTGTCGTTCCTTGTCGTAAAATCAGGACGAGCTATCGTGGAAAACTGGCGGTGACACTGCGCTGGACGCTTTTCTATCGTATTCGCGGGTCAATTTCCGCGCCCGTCTCGACTCGCGTATTCTTGCTCCTTGAATTAGAGCTGTCGAAGGTTCGCATAAAATGCACATGTCGCGCCCGCTAACCGCCACCACTCCGGCGGGGTGCGCGGGGATTTTCGCAGCCGTTTCAAAAGTTGCCGGGACGCTGCTGCTACATCCGTCTCGATTACGAGACTGCGAGATTTCTCTCCGTCGGAGCTTTCTGGCTCTCGAGATGTCAGTGGCACTTCCGTCAGCATTATGTATCGCCGCGGCGCGGCGCGGCGCGGCGCGGCGCAGCGCATAGCTACGCTGCACCTGCGGCACCGGGTGCTTTAATGCCTGACGTCTACCGCGTTTACGGCGGCGCGCTCGGCCGCGGTAGAGATAGAAACGTCGATTGCCTCGATAATGCCGGCAGAGAGAAAACGTGTACTCTCGAGCGGCCATTATCGGGACGTTTTCTCATGAGATATTGGGCGTACACGCGCGAACGCGAGTAAGTGAAGTGGAGTGTCTTCTTGGGTATCCGCGTCCACGTATAAGCTTGAAATCTTCCGTCGCGTCGTCGTGCGTAACACGTCCGCGAGTAACGTCCGCGAACGGCCGCGGCCAATTACGGTAACATTACGCGCTCAGCTTCACGAGACTGGGAATTAGACGAAAAGTTCGTCATTATATTGTTTTACGGCCCAACAACCACTTGCGCGCGCGAGCGCGCGAACGCTCGGCTTCGCGCGGCGCGCAGCGCTGCCTATGTCAAGCACACGCAGCGAGAAACCGACAAATCACGTGGCTAATGTGAACGACGTCATTCCGCGTGTTCCTGATATATCAGAGCGACCGCGTTCAGCACGTTCGGCACGACGACCGCTCGATTTCTCTCGACACATGTTGTTCCGCGGGGCTGCGCGAATCCGCGTTCGCGGACGGGCCTTTTCGCTCGTTCCTGCACGGCGACCCGTGCAGCCGCGACGACCGACGAGCGTGCGCGGACGTCTCGCGAAGGACGCAGGAAAATTCCGGAAAATCACTCGATGGGAAACCCGAGAAAGTCTCCGCGCGCGAGAATTATCCGCTCGCGACGTTATTCTCATAAATCGCGCACGAAGGCGGATCAGCTCGGCGAGAACGCTCGCTGTGCTGTGCGAACGGCAATCACGCTCTCGTGATGATAACCGATCGTTATAGGCGTAGTGTACCGTGACCGTGAGCGATGTGTCTCACTTAACCCTCCGGTAGGCGCGTCTTTCTGGCGTCGATTCTTCTCGTAAATTTAATTATAAAACGCGCAACGTATACGCAGACACGCTACCGAGCTAAGAGAAATCACGGCTGCGAATATTCTTGAGAGATCGCGGGAGGTTATTAATGTTCCGCGTGTAATGACGCGCCGGGCGAATATCTTTCTCGATTTCCGCCCCGATATCGGATCCACCGGATCAGGACCACCGGATCATCCCCCCGGTTTACTACGCGTTAACATAATTTCAATAGAATTCGGATCGACGAGCGATTACCCGCGTTAACCCGTTCCCAATTAATAAACTTTCGCCACCACTCGAGTCTATTCAAAATGGAAAAATGACAAAGTGTCCAAGATATGTATAATGTTTCCACGATGCACGGATGTGTGATGAAAATATCGCTTCGCTTGCCTCCGTCCCCGCTGAGGAATTGGAAACTTGAGCTGTGAAATTGAAACTAGTCAGATATTCCGCTTATCGGAGGGTTAATGAACCGCGTGGCCCCCCTTTCGGAAAAGGAGAGACGCTTCTACCTGCTCTTCGGATTTCGTTAAGCGAGAGACTCGCTTCCCCCTCGTTCCCTCGCTCCTGCTAGAGCTCTCCTCATGTGCGCGCGCTCATTCCGCGGGGATGGGTTCGTGCCCGCCACGTCGCTGTAACCCCGCCGAGATACGACACGACGTGAATTGCAACTTCGTAACAGGATCCTCCTCCGTCTTGTCGCAACGCACGGGGCAGCGGATGTGGGGATACGGGGTGGACTACTTAACGTTATCATCTTGGGTGCCGTTGCTTCGCGTCGCGCAAGCGAACGTTGGGAAAATTAACGTGGCGCGTTCGTCGGACGTTTTTCGGCGGGGTTATTCTCGGGGATATCTCGCGCCGTGACAGATGAGAGAGACGTTCGCTGCTCGCAGAGACCTCGATAGAAATTGCTTCCGAAAATTTGCACCCAATTGTTCCGCTCGATTCCTCGCGATTGCAATCGAATCGTGAAACGACGTCTGTGTGTGCGTGTGCGTGTGCATGTGCGTGTGTGTGTGTGTGTGTGTGGAGAAACGTCCCTTCGTATCTTTAAACGGGACAGGCGGGTACGCGCCGCCAGCAGCACGCGAAAAGAGAAATTTACTAATCTGATGTCTTCGACGGTTTAACATTGAACGTTCCCGAGGAACAGGTAATTTCAGATAGCGCAGATTGAAAGCATCGTCCGCGCGCGAATTTTACGGCCGTTCTCCGTGGCGAGATCACCGGGCGATGAGAGGCGGCATACGTATCGCACAACGGGGCGGTATCGAGTGCTGCTTCGCCATGTAGAGCCTGGCTTGACGATGACGTTAAACGAAAGTACGGCCACGTAGACGCGCTCGCTGTTACGCGAGATATCGCGTATTCACGGGACGTGTGAATTTATACGACGACTATCCGCGAGCGCGCGCGAGCGCGCGCGAGAGCGCGTCCGTCGATTCTCTCTCATCGAATCGTCGGCGCACCGCGGCGCACCTCGCGGCATCTCTCGCGTGTATACACGCAGCGACCCATAAATTCGCGCAGCCTAGAGAATCGTGACGCTAGTGATGCCGGTAAAGGATAAATCAATCGGGACGCGTAAGCGCGAGCGAGCGAGCGTTATAACGAAATTAAGAACAATTAATCACGACGACGGGCCACATTATTCAATGTATCAAGTTCTCGTTTTACTCGCCGATTCGAGTCGCAATTGACGCGACTCTCTCTCTATCGCCGCGGTCCTCCTCGCGTCACCTGCGCGCCCTGTGACCCGAGGCCGGAGTTTCTCGCCGTCGTTGACCCGCGATGAATCCCGCCGGCTTTAATCGGTCACGACGACCCCTCGAAATTTCTGTTCGCAGGCCAGAACTTCAGCCGGTCGCGGGTGTTCTCGCCCCGGATAGACTACGACGAGTGGACGCCGCTGGGCCGCGGCGACCCGCTCAAGAACAACCCGACCTTCGACTATGTGCCGCCCGTTCTCGACAGGGTGCAGTACTGGCTGAACTCGCACACCACCGAACCCTCGTCGAAGCGCGACATTCTCGTGCTGGGCGTCACCGCGAAGAAGACCAGCCCGAAGATACCCGAACAGTACTTCCAGTTCATGGATAGCCCGAAGTTCACACGAACCAGCCAAGATGCGCCGTACAGGAACGAGTTCACTGGCAGCAGCGGCGCTGAGCCGCCCAAGGTCGTGCGTAACACCAGCTTCAGGAACGGTTTGATGGACTACAGGAATCAGAACCGATTACCGCCGAGCTACTACCCCAGTTCGTACTACAATCAGAAGATGAAGCCGTACACCATGATGATGCCGCCGCCGATGATCCAGAAAGCCGAGACGTCCACTAGCTACAACGTCGGCTTGTCCAAGGATAAGGTAATCGGTTACGCGGATACATCTCAGCCGTTCAGCACGCAAACGGAGGAGGGACCACTCCTGCAGGACGCCGCTCAGTATCACGGAACGCCCTCCAAGGATTACGGACACTACTCTTCTGTGCCCTCGTCAAAGCCGTACTCCACTTCGAAGACGTTGCCGAACAAGGCTGTCGCGGTATCCCAAGCGGAGACCGTCAAGAGCGTCTATACACCGACCGCGTCGCAAAGCACGAGGTCGAGGTACGAGGCGACCACCGCGCCGTCCGTATCCTTCGAGAAGTCCAACCTGATCTATCAGTCCACGCAAACTCTGACCGGCGGGTGGCTCGGCAATAACGGACCCACCTCTTCGTCGTCCACCGGCTTCCCGGACGTCAGCCAGGTCACATGGCAGACCTCGGATTATCCCAGAGACCATTACGAAGCTGATTACCACGCGGCGGCGGCGGCGTCGAGCAATCATGAGGTCATCATCGGGCAGAACGCGAACATCATCGTGGACGGTAACAACAACGAGAACGAGGAGGTCGTGGTGGGTCAGAAGGAAATCAACACCGATGCGACGTCCTCGACGTCGGAGAGCGTCGCGCAGAGCTCCACTGTCTCGTCCACCACTATTACGGACTCCACCGGCCAAGAAGAGGAGCAAGAGCAGGCGGAGGAAGCCGTGACCGAGACGCAAAAGATGCACATCGTCTTGGCCAACTCGCCGTCCACTATGGCGAACCTGGAAACACACAAGGCGAAGAAAGGTCCCGTCACTGTGGTGATGCCGACCAACTACGTGGACAAGAACCTCTCCTCGAGTTCGTCCGACCCGCCAACGACGCTCAACAATGCATTGGGCAATCCCATCACGTCTGAGATGACGAAGACGACGAATCAGGCGCCGAAAACGCAAGCACAACTGACGAGGAACGCGGTGACGAGCTCACCGATCACCGAGACTCGCCCCTCCGCCACCTCAACTATACTGAACAAAATGCTACCACCCTCTCAGCTGCCTCATCAGTCGCTGCATCCACCTTCCGCCCCGATTCAGCCCCCCAGGCACGTGAGCAACCCTATGCACATGTTCGTACTTCCGCAAGCGAGCTCTCAATCCATGATGCACTCTCAAGCCAGGCCGAATTACGCCACGATGCACTTCCTCGGTAGCATGCATCCAGGCTCCCAACCGCCTTCATCGATGTCCCACATGTCGCCTCCTATGGCGCACATGCACCCGCCACCCATGAAGACCATGATGGGACCTCCGCCGAGCATGGAAACTCACCAGAGACCTCCACAGCCGTTCCCCGTGACGTTCACCAGCCCGCCGCCGACGTCAACCATGAGTATGCAGACTACCGAGTCCGAGTCCGAGTCCGAGCAGTCGGCCGACCATCGACCCTCCCGATTGCTCGCGACGATCATAAATTCAATGACCACCTCGGTACCCTTCACGCCGACCATGGTTTCGTCGACCGTGGAATACTACACGTCCACCGTGGATACCGACCACCAGGAGAGCACGAGACCCCCCAGTCAGACGCCATTGGTGAAGATCCTCAGCACTGAGGAGACCTCCAAGAGCAGCCCGACGTTCGCGTCCTCGTCGATTACCCCTCCGCGAACCACGACCGCCCCCAGCCTGACCACCGACCCGATCTTCTCGCACTACAAACAGCCGGACAAGCCGATCAGCGGCCCGATGTATCATATAATTCAAGGTCACTCGAAGGTGAAGACTTACCGGCCCACGGTGAAGAAGCATATCTTGCCGTTCGAGAACAACGAAGTCGTGGAAAACATGACGGAGCGACAGCTGTCCAAGTTGGAGCAGCTGATTTGGCAAAACACGAAAAACGGCGCCGTCGACCCGGCCGCCGAGAAGAGGAAGCTAGAGGAGAAAGCCCGTGCCGAGAAGCGCGCGTTCTCGCCGCAACACGACAGCCTCATGAGCCTCGTCGAGAGCGGCTTGGAAGGTTTCACCGTGTCGCCCTCGAGCGACACGGTGACGGAGGACGAGCGTCGCGCCAACTCGGTCACGAGCGTTGAGATCAATTAAGAAGGATCCGCCGTTTTGCGACAGCAGTTCTCCTAGAAGGACCAAGCTTCTCTCGGCGGGCGGATCGTGGTAGGAGGACGACGACGACACCTGCGCGCGCGGGCTCCCCTGCGTCGCGACGGCGCGGCTGAACGCGGCAGCCGACGCCGCGTTCTCCGTCAGTAGGGGTGAAAAAGCTACTTAGGGATGAAATCGACTTATTCGTTGCTACGCGCGGCCCACGCTCTGCGAGTCGTTGGGTGAAAATCGACAGCCGAAAGTCACACACAGGCCGCCGGTGGTCGGCGCGAGTTGGGCATGGAAAAAGTCCCCGTGGCCTGATCTCTCACGCAACTTTTTCCAACGTGAGAGCTACCTGGGAGACGAGAGCGTAAACACGTTTAACACGCGCGAACGGCGAACGAGGCGCGCCGAATTTTACGCGGTCTCGCTTCATCGATTTTTCGTTCCGCCCTCATCGTTCCGTGATACTCTGAGTGCCTGCTCTTTATGTACATTTCCGTTTTTATTCCGCTTTTATTTTTACGCACACACATCGCGCTCCCATCCATCGCGGACAAACCCCCTCCGAGCGATACGGCGACGTCCGCTGTAGATCAACCAGCTTAAAAGCGCCGCGAAGTGCGCATGAAAACCGGGAGACATGTTTGTCGTGTCAATAATTTATTTGCTACATCGAGACACACGACCCGATGTGCTTGGTCACGCTCATTTACGTACCATTATTATGATCGTTACATCGATGCATATTTTATTATTATCATGAATAATTTAATCCGCAGATCGTTCATTATTTATTTCGCTTAATGTAGGTTGTTCTCTCGTTTAATTTAATTTATTACACGTATCCGTACGTGCCCTGCGTGCCCTGAACGGTCACTCGCGACAGTTCGATCGGCAACGAGACTAGAATCGTGCGGCAGATCGAGGCGAGAGATCCGAGACAATTAGCGGCGCAATGAACGACACTTCTTGGTACTTTTCAGACTCTGCGTCTCGTGACGCATCGATGCGGACTGGTCGCGAATTTGCGCGCACGCAAATCCACGCGATGAGATCGTCCCGGCGAGATCTGACGTGGACCTTTGTCGCGAGATGAACAAATCCCCGCATCCCCCCCGGATAAAATCGCGTCACACGTGTCGCCCACGTGTGCTCGCGTGCACGCGAATTTGTGGCCATCTCGTAGTCTCTCGCGGTCGCACGCATGGAAAGATCACTTTCGTAGCGGTAATCTCGGTGTGATCGTCGCGCCCACATTTATTGTTTTCATTGTGTTCACATTCGAGATCAATGATTGTCATTGGCGGTGGTAAAAAAAAAAAAAGAAGAAGAAAAAAAAAGAGAGAAGAGAAAAATAGGAGGAAAAATATTCTGTGAGAGTATATCCTATGAAAAAAAGATATCGTGAAGAAAAAAAGAAAAAGAGAAAAAAAAACAGATACTCTCTCGCTGCCACCATAATAGAGGCTCAACCAGGCGGTTCTCCGTGTCCTGCCACGCTTTCATCCACGATGAGAAAAGCGCGCCAATTTCATATGTGCCAGTATACATAACATTACGTACGTATATACGTGAATATGCAAAAGGCGTAATTATATATACGTGTTACACGCGTGTCTGCGCGGACTAAGCGATCGCTCGGCGATTCGGATCGCGCTGCACGACCCGTTCGTCGCGTCCGCGGCGATAGTTATCGCGGGTGAATCATCGGTGCATATTCGGTGCGTTTCACTCGTGCACTCGTCACGACGTCACTCGAATCGCCCGTGCGCTTTCCTTCGCGACTCAAGTATCGAACGAACTCTCGGTCACGGTTGTCGCCGAGCGATTTTATTTATCCCGTCTCGGATCTGCGCGGCGGACCGGTCCGGACGATCGTTTGATCGTGACGCAGACGCGAAGCTTACGTGCTATACGCATAAAACAATATTATTTATTGTACGACATAGTTGAGTGCGGGAGAAGTACAGGATGTCTCAGAAGTCGCGAGCTCTCCTCGGCGAATTTCAGGCTGGCTTGCGCTTCAGCTAAAGCTCGCAAGCTTTCGGCTTGCCGAAAAAGAATCGGTGCCATTCGTTGCGATCTTGCAAAATCTTCCACCCGGAAACGGTTCCGCAATTTTGCGTCTTGATTAACATCGGTCTTTCGGTGAAATCAATTTCTCGTGATATTAACAGAACGGGAACGAATCCGAGTTTGAAATTTGGGTTCGCTTATTAACTCTGCAAACTTCGTCAAACTTGAACGACTAGAGAATCTTGAGGTACGTACGGAGAGTTGTCTGAGTTGTCGCGCATGTCGTACGCAGGTAGATTTTATCAAACTGAGCGGAAAAGCCTGTTTCGTAGATAATTATGTGAAATTTCACATTATTAATAAAAGAAGAAATTGGCGATAGGTTCCTCTAAAATGGAATCTCACCGAGAATGTTTCAATCAAATGACAGTTTCTCGGCGACGAGAAACGGCGCGCGGTGCGTGATACTGGACAGTGGAGGCGTAAATTATAATATTGTCCAGCATTACATTCCCGCGCGCGGTGTTGCGACAAAATTGTCGATTGATTCAGACGGTGATTGATTGGATCTTCGACGGGATGCCATTTTAGGCGAGCTCATCCCATCACATTATGCGCAGACTGTAGTTGAGCAAGGTTTTTGCTGAATATTATATATTATTTATATTTTTTTATTTATACTATATTTATTTATCTTTATTTATTTATCCTTATTTATTTATTTATCTTATTACAGCTTACCTTTTGGATAAAGGTTAAGTGCGAGTAGAATGTTGAGGTAATCAAATATTAAATAACTTTTGAATAATTGCTTCTTTAGCGTAGGAAGAACAGCAATTTACGAGCATTTGCAGCATCACGGTAGGACAATAGTGTTACACTTGGAGGTTCTCTATTGATCCTTCAAGTTGGCCAATATTTGCGGGATTAATGTGAGGAGCCAAAATTTCAACTCGAGACGCAACATCACCGTATTACATGTACACTTGCGAAGTACAACTTGCTAAAATTTCCCGATCGATACGCCGCTATGACGAGGCGAATTCATATATTTATTACATACCGCTCGCAAAGTAGGGCTTCCGGCGTCTTCTGAGATGTCCTACGCACGTATGATGGTTGTAGATGTAATTTATGAAGTTGAATGTTAAGAGTAGACTTTTCTTTAGTGTCGTATTTATTGCGCTAGATGTAGGTCGAAGAAACGGAAAGTCTCAAATGCGGTAAAGATTAAAGCAAAAGAGCAGCCTTTGTGTGTGTTTGTTTTCTCTTCATTTTGCGCGCGATTGTGCTCGTTTCTCGACTTGTATCGACACACGAAGATGCGCTCGCGAGAGGAGGATTCGTGTCACGCCTAAGTTTACACCAATCTGCCGCTCGATGCTCGACTCTCGAGGCTTTCCGTTCTCAATCGAATCTCCGGTTTATCCATTACGATCTGCTCATTTATCGCATACATTGCCGCGTCCCATAGGACTTACTACTTACGTTTACCGCAACACCGATCGACAGCACCGGAATCTCCCGAATATCGTTGTTCTCACGTAGCCGTCTGCCGTGGCAGTCCAATTTCCGACACGCTCCCCGGGCCTCGCGGATCTCGCTATGTCGAACGACGTTCGCGAGACGCGAAGGAGCATCCGCGAGTGTTTGTTCGCGATTTATCGAGGTGAGATCGACGCGGCTCTGCCCATCTGCCCGTCGTATCCGTCGTTCCGCGGACTCGCGAAGCGGACGGACGGTCCTCGATTCGCGTGCTTCCGCAACGCTCTCTGTAAGGCGAATCGCCCGCACACATCCACTTCCACTTATAGGCGCGCCGATGTGAAACTTACATTAACACTAGTCTTACACTCTACCAGTTACCAAACATATCGCGTACGTACTAACACACAGATCACCGACCGCATCACGATCCCCCCCCCCCCCTACTTGCTCGTAGCGATCGTAATTAGGCGTGTAGTCGCGACACTCGCAGTGTTACGCGCGCATCCACACGGCAATATACTATATAAATATACTCACGCATACACATGAGATATATACATAGATATATATTATACGTATAATGCATATAAACATATATTATACGCATACGTATTTATATATAAATCAATTCTACGTACCCGGCGATGTGAGGGAGAAAAAGAGGCGGCAGAGAGAGCAGAGAAAAAGAAAAAAAAAAACAGAGAAAGAGAGAGGCGATAGAGATGGAGCATCGCCGCATCGCGCAATCACATTTTACGCACTCGGCGTTACGTTCGCACGCGCGTCGCCTGACCGCGCGCGCGCGCGCGCGCGCATTAAGTTTACGTATGATAAATTGTACCTGACGGTCACGCGTTCTGTTGATTCTTCTGTTTTATTAATAAAGTATCTTATTATCGAGCCGAGGCGTCTCCCGACCCGCCTTTGGTCCATCCGTGCGCTCCTCTACCTCTCAATCTCGAAAGAAGACAACGGCGGTGCACGAGGAGGAAAAGAAGAGAGCGACCTAATCGCGTTATCAAGGCGTTATCGACACGACTGTTGTGTAATTATTAAAATGTAATAATCTTGCCAACCCATTGTTGCGAGCGATCAGCGCACAACTATCGTTGTCATCCCCCATTATATGCTCATCGAGCGGGTCTGGTGTGCGTATACACACACACACACGCGCGCGCGCGCGCGCACGCAGCAGTCGTAAATTACGTCGGGACTTTGACGCTCCGCGATTCTAACGGGATGCAGCCGTCAAAGGGAGCCGAGGCATAGACAAGCGCACGAGACGCGTTCAGGGTCGGCCGTTGACGACGATGAAGTTATACCGATAACGATCTTACGGTACCGCGGAAGATCATAAATTTCGCGCGACGCCGACGCGAGTGCATCGAGCAGGCTCGTTAAAAGCGCTGTTTAAAAGCGACCATTAAAATCGTAACAAATCGTCGGATCTCCTGTGTGTCGCCGCGCTTCGCTTCGCGAGAGCGCGCGGAAGCCGTTTCACCCTCGCGGCCTTCCGCCTCGGCGGCCTCCGTTGCGGACGCGTAAGTGCGCGCGATCGTTATCAATTATGGCCGCGACAGGGCACACGCGTGTTCCTCTCCTTCGTCCGGCGTGCGCCGCCGTTGCGCTTTCTAATCCGCGCCGTAGTCGCGCGGTGCGCCCGCGCAAAAAAAAAGGATGCAGGAGCGAGGATCGCGCGACGGGTCGAGACGGAGAGATCGAGATATGCTGAGCAAACACGATTGAACGGTAATCGGTAATTAATACGGGCAGGTCTTTTGCGCGACAAAGCGTCACGCGGCCTGTATAAACTCGCGCGTCGCGCTCGTTTGTTCCGATTATCCTTAATCGACGCGGCCAAACTGGCTACACGCACGCACACGCACACGCGCGAATGACAAATTTCCCGTGCGCGGACTGATTGCGCTTGCAGTTTCGCACGCACGCGCGCGCGCGCAATGTTTGCGGTCCCGTAAATTCCGCCGATTATTAGCTGCCGCGCGCCTGCCTGATTTACGACGCCGGATCACTCGATCGCGCCATTTCACGCGAGTTTCATATCAAAGTGGGCCTCTTTGATACAAATCGGCCGGCCGCTATTACGTGACGAATTGGTTACACGTGCCCGCGTCCAGTCCCGTGCAACTTGATTGCGGGTTCAAATCCGGACGCGCGCTTTGCTCCGTTGCTCGCCAAGGAGCAGACGTATTTACCTGCGACCTCGTCGCCGAGAATAAAAATCGCTCCCTCCCCCCCTCCCCTTTAGATTATAATCCCGGCTGGATGGACAAGCGAATGCAAGATGGGAACGTTCGAATCGATAGCGAATGAAATGTACGACCCTCTCCCAATACCGACAGGCGAGAGAGAGAGAGAGAGAGAGAGAGAGAGAGAGAGAGAGAGAAAGAGAGAGAGAGCCTTCGTCTCTAATAAAGATAAATAAATGCGCATAGAAGCAACGCGCGAGAGGCAGGCGCAGGACGATGTCCTGAATCGACCGTGAGTCTGCCGTCGAGGATGCACGAGCCTGAAAACGCCAATCACGATCACGTGCGAGGATCAACGAGGAGCTCGGAGGCTGTCACCCCGTCGGTCTAAACAAATGTTTCATTGTTCGTCCGTCCGTCATTTAATTACACTTGCGCGAGAGCGAACTAACGGACGCGGCTAGCGGGAGCGGCGAGGAGCGAGGGGGAGGAAGGCAGGCAGGCAGGCGAGGATCAGAAATGTCGCCGAGGTCGACGGCGAACGAACCCAGGTCCGGCTGAGTGCGTCCGGGGACGCGCGGAAGGCGGGTAGATCGGGACGCATCGAAAGCACGAATTTAAGGTTAATTTATAGCGTAATTTAGTTTCAATGTCGGTAGCATAAATCTCTGGCGGAGGACAGGGGCCCGGGGCCCACGGGAAAAAAGCCGGCGAGATAAAGGGCCCAGGGTACGAAGGGGGGAGGAGGAGGAGGGCCGCACCGGTACCTCTCTCGCCTACCCGTCCGCCGTCTCTTGCCTCGTCCTGCCTCTCCTCTCCTCTCCTCTCGTCGCCTCTTCTCTTCACTCGTCTCCTCTCCGTCGTTCTTGCGCGCGAGCCTTCTCTTCATCGCGCGTTCCGACGTTTTATAGATGATTCGCGGACGAGAGTAATTGGCGGCGATTAATGGCCGGGACCAGATCGCGCGTTCTAGGTTCGCGGGCGACGTAGACTCGGTCGATCGTTTCGAAACGAGAGCGATCTCCGGGCGAGAAAATTTCGAGCGGCAGCGGCCGATCGAAATCAGGGGGGTGACGGTGATTTTTCTAATGAATAATACATGGCCGACGTGAGAGAGCGCGCGCGCGTACGTGTGCGCGTGTGTTTGCGTGCGTGGACCGTGTACTTGCGTTTTTTGCCCGCGACAACGTAATTTGTCAGACGATCGCCGCGACCGACGCTCGATTTATCCGCGAAGGAAGATCGATAAGTCCGCTTTTTATTGTCACGCTTTCGGAATGAGGAAACTCGAGTCGGTCGACATTTTTTCTCGCCGGTAATAGGATTTCCACCTGCTGCTTTGTCTCGTTCGTTTTTCCTTCCTCTCCTCTCCTCTTCTTTTTTCTTTCTTTTTGCAACGAGCACCCTCTTCACGTCGAGCAACGCGACCGATCGGATTTTCGAGCGAGCGATATTGCAAGTTAATGGCTAGTTTAAATTACCGTTTGCTACAATTAACTGCGATACCGTCGAGATTATTTTCGATCGAGTGATTTATGCGGAGGGAGGCAGCGGGAGCCGCGTGGATTTTGCACAGAGCGGTTTGAAATGTAGAGAGAACGCGCGTCTGCGTGGAGAGCGAAATTTATGCGATCAGTGTCAGTGTCAGTCGTTGGAAAGTCTCGTATATTTCAATAGACACGTCTGTATGTGGAAACCTCGGGTAAGAATCGACGATTCTTGTTAGTCGAAGAGAGAAGTCCGTCCG